AGACGTTTAAAATGCCACGATGTACAAATTTACCTCAAAAACTGTTACTCAAGTGGCGTTTTTTAAACAGGTGTGGGATATTCGGACTCAGAAGTTGAAGCAAGATCTTCCGGGCCATGCAGATGAAGTAAGGCCTCCAACACCCAAACCCAATGAGAAAAACTTGTTTGGGTTTTTGAGAGAAAAATTGATACTGCCCATAGGGGCAAAATCGAAATTTCCGGTATGTTTTTTCCCATTCTTTTTTATATATTCTTATCCCAATTTGTTCTGTGTCTTTAGGTATTTGCAGTTGATTGGAGTCCGGATGGTGAGAAAGTAGCATCCGGGGGCAAGGATAAAGTTTTGAAGTTATGGATGGGATAAGGAAGTCTTGGGGCACTTGAATGGCTTTGTGCACAGGTTACGTTTATATCAATTATTTGCAGTGAGATGGAAACATACCGTGTAATATGAAAAATAGTGTCTGCAAATGTTCTTTCTTTTGTTATATTTATTTATTATCATTACTAGTGGTGGGGAATTGAAATAATTAAAAGTATTATTGGGGTTTTTCAGCTATACATCCATCCTAAGATCAATCGGATTCAGTTATTAAAACAACGATAAACGCATTTGACACCTGCATAGATTACTAATACTAAAAAATCTCAAGAGTCAGATTGTGTAATACATTTCTTATTTTGGATATCATCTCAAGAACATAGTCCCACATCGAATTCGAACAATTACAAAAGTCAGAGAAGAAAACAGGCAACAAACCACACACTTCATTTCCCCCAAACCAAAAGGAAACACTCACATCACATACAATTCTTCAAAGAATCCCCAGCACCCTGGAAAAAACAGCACGATAGCGCGAAATCCGCAATGAAAATCCCGACCAACGACACCACCACAGCCGAAGTAGTCGACTCCCCCACACCCTTGGCCCCACCCATAGTCGTCACCCCCCACGCGCAGCTCACCACCGATATAATCCCACCGAAAACCCCCGACTTTATCATGGAGCTCACAATGTCCCACGACCTCAAAGCCCGTCTAGCCGAATTAAATATTATATTAATACTCACCCCATAAACCCCGTCCGCCAGTATCCCACTCGACACCATACCCACCACAAAACACATGAGTGTCAAAATCGGGAGAGCCACACACGAGGCCAAAACCCGTGGAGTCATCAGATAGTCCACAGGGTCCGAACCCAAAACCCTTAGGGTGTCCGTTTGCTCGGAAACTTGCATAGTACCGAGCTCGGCTGCAAACGCGCTTCCGATTCTCCCTGCGACCACAATAGATGTGACGACTGGGCTTAGCTCCCGAGAGAAAGCGAGGGCCAAAACACCGCCTACGGATCGGTTGAGGCCGAGTCGAGTGAACTCGCGCACGAATTGGATTGTAAAAGCCATGCCCACAAATGCAGAGGTTAAGAGGCAGACGCCGACGGATCTCGGGCCCACGCATGCCAGCTGTTGGAGGGTGTTTTTCCAGTGGATTTTGCCGTTGAGGGATCGGGTGATGACTTGGCCGGCGAGGATGAGGATGGAGAGGGCACGCCAGAGGTATCTGGGTGGGGCCCAGTTTGAGAGGAGTGTGTTTGGTCTGTCGTTTGGTTCGTTTGGTTGTTCTTCTTCTGGGATGGAAGAGGCGATTGGGTTGCCGTCGCTGGTGGTTAGGGCAGCAGCAATGGGTGAGGGCTTTTGGAGATGAGAGGGGAGGCCGTGGTGGAGCTTGGTTCGTTCGAGAAAATCGAGTTTTCTGGCGAGGTGACTCAGGTGCAAAGATGTGGTTTTTGATGGGGGAGTTGAACTGAATGGGCGAATCCTGAAAATTTTTCAAAGATAAGTTAAAAAAGAAAACATGAATAGTCTACATAGCCTAAGAAGGAAAGTTGTTTTTATTTTTTCTTTTATTATTTTTT